CTGACGTGGATAGAGTGGCACGGGCCCTCTTTGCATGGCTCAGACCAGAGACAAAGAAGTGTCACATGCCGTTTGGTGCCCGGACTCAGTTTGTCTACGACTGGGGGGCGATTACGAAGGGACACCTTGGTGACCTCGCACAACCAGGTGGGCAGTGGAATGGCATCATTGGGAAACTCATCAACACCCATGACACTACCTCCCAGACCTGCACATCCCTGGCTCCACTGTTTCCTATCCAAGGCATGCTGACCAAGGTCTTCATTCCCAAGTACTGCAAACAGGGCAAGGGCAAATCCCTCCTCCAATTCCACTACGCAATTCAGTGCATACCAGCGGTCAAGAAACCTGCCCCTGCTCAGCCTGAACAATCAGCCACACAGGACGCCGACACTCCAGATTCTCCATTGCCACCTTCCGTGTCTTCTACTCCTCCAGAACCGCCATCAACCAACCCAAGCGTAACTGCCCCCACCACAGCTCAGCCAACTCTACCCTCCTCATCCACCAAGCGTTCCAGTCGCAAGGGGTCTAAGAATCGCCGGGCCAAGCAACCTCTTGAGAAACCTACAGAGACGCCTCAGGCTACTCCCCCCACACCTCTTCCACGGCCCACTCCGGCACTGAAGTCTACAACCCAGGCAGCAACCAACCCTCCTACGCCGTCTTCTGCTCGGGCAAAACTTTCTGCATCTGAGCAGCCCCTGGTCACTGAGGCATTTGATCGCAGCGCATGGCTGGCGGCAATGGATGTGGAACTGAACCAGGGCCCAGCCGGTCTCTTCCAAATGATTCTACCAGGCCCAATCGATGGCTTCTATGTGTTCGTGGTGCGCCAAAAGTTTGCCTCATTGGCACAGGAAGTTCTCAAGAACCTGGCAGCCTTCCTTATTTCTCACCTTGAGTTATGGCAGGACCTGAAGCATCAGCGGAAGACATGTCGCACCTGGCTCTGCTTGGACCACTATAATCGAACGGTTACCAACGCTATGACCTGGGACCAAAGCCAACATCGTGCAATCTTGGAGTACGAGCGGGACGTCGATTTGGACCAGCAAGTCGAGAAAGATGATAATGAGTGGATTGAGAAGCTCCTCGCGGCAGAGCAGGCTTCTCCGGCATTTGAGGGCACCATCACGATTGACCTTTCAATGCCAGCTGCAAAGGATATGGATGACGGGGCTACGGTAGGCAGCGCGGCAAATATGGCAGCACTATTGGAGAACATGAAAGCGGATGTCAACGACCTTTGCTCGGAACTAGAGACTGCGGCGGAAAAACTGGCTCAAGCTAAGGATGCGGAGGCTGCCAAGGATGCTCATATCCTTGAATTGGAGGCCAAAATGGCGGCACAAGCATCGGTCACAGGCAAGCACCGCTCATCAAGCCCCTCCTCCAGCAAGGCAACATCATCGGCTGACAGTGGGGGTGGCCCCCCCCGGCGGTGGTCCCTAACCACCAACGGTCCCGTCACGCAAGGTTGCGGCGTTTGACAGAAGGCCAAGGTCGAAATCTACGCAACCAACACACATCCAGCCAGGTGGCCCACTCCTCGCTGGATGCTTATTTAAACTCTCTCCCTCCCGGTAACTACTTCGGCGATGACTCACGCCAGAAGTCTC